AGCCATCAGCGTTCTTCAATTAACCTTCTAGCAATATTATTTTGAAAAGGATGCCAGTCCTCATATGGCAGAGTCAGACAAGCACCCATTTTGACTAGAAATGTCTGTATAACTGAACTAGCAACTTGACATAATTGGTTAAGGGAGTGTGAGAATGAACTGCCTGCAAGGGCCAAAACCTGAGAATGTCTTCAAATAACTCCAGTAAAAAGTTAACTTGGCCACATATGAAAGTAACTGTTCCTGTTCAGTTGTGTACCTTTCTCATAATTGGATACTTAAAAGTTGCAAAATAAGCATGGAGGTCTAGGTTATGTTCTTGTTTTATTATATGTGTTTGTATAAACTATGAAAGGTTGTTTTACAGTCAGTACTATTGTCCTTAGAAATCTTAACCCAGAAAAATGTTTGCAAAAAAATCTTGTTTCTCTTGGATCTTTCACTTATTCTTGGTGTTAGACGTTTGTTAAGTAAAATGTTTGAAATAGCCCTTTCTCTTCCACCTTGGGGAAAGGTGGACCTGAAATGAGATTTTTGTTTACTAAAGCAATTTAAAACTAAACCTGCACTTTATGAAAATGAATACTAACATCTTTTTCTCCCTCATTTTTGTATTACTGTATTAGCTAATGATCAAAGTTGTTAAAATTATAAATGTATGATGCAAAAATAAAATGGAAATATTTTAATAATAATAATAAAAAAAAAAAAAGAGCTGCTTCTTTGAAAAGATAAACAAGACTGATGAACCTTTAGCCAGACTCACCAAGAAACAAAGAGAGAGGACCCAAATAAATAAAATCAGAAATGAAAGAGGCGATATAACAACTGACACCACAGAAAAAGAAAGGATTGTAAGAAAATACTCTGAGCAACAATATGACAACAAACTGGACAACCTGGGTGAAATGGACAAATTCTTAGAAGCATATAATCTTTCAAAACTAAATCAGGAAGAATCAGAAAACCGAAATAGGCCGATCAAATAGCTCCCAGCAAAAAAAAGACCTGGACCAGATGGATTTACAGGTGAATTTTACCAACATTCAAAGAAGAATTATTACCTATTCTCCTCAAACTATTCCAGAAAACTCAAAAGGAGGGAAGGCTCCCAAGTTCTTTTTATGAAGCCAGCATTATCCTAATCCCAAAACCAGATCAAGACACTACAAAGAAAGAGAATTACAGGCCAATATCCCTGATGAACATAGATGCTAAAATCCTGAACAAAATATTAGCAAATTGGATCCAGAAATACATTAAAAAGATCATATACCATGACCAAGTGGGATTTATTCTGGGGATGCAAGGCTGGTACAGTATTCGCAGGTCAATAAATGTGATACATTACATAAACAAAATGAAGGACAAAAATCATATGATCCTATCAATAGATGCAGAAAAAGCATTCGACAAAATCCAGCACCCATTTTTGATAAAAACTCTCAGCAAAGTGGAAATAGAGGGACCATACCTCAACGTAATAAAGGCCATATATGACAGACCTACAGCCAACATCATACTCAATGGGCAAAAACTAAAACTATTTCCCTCAAAAACAGGAACAAGACAGGGATGTCCACTTTCATCACTCTTATTCAACATAGTACTGGAAGTCCTTGCCACAGCAATCAGACAAGAAGAAAACATAAAAGGCAGCCAAATTGGAAAGAAGAAAGTAAAACACATTATTTGCAGATGACATGATATTGTAAATAGAAAACCCTATAAAGACTCCACCAAAGTACTACTAGATTTAATAAATGAATTTGCCATGTAGCAGGATACAAAATTAACATATGAAAACTGATGCCATTTTTATACATCAATAATGAACTATCAGAAAGAGAAATTAAAAAAAATACCATTTACCATTGAAACTAAAAAAATAAGATACCTAGGAATAAACTTAACCAAGTAAGTAAAAGACCTGTACTCAGGAAACTACAGGACAGTGAAAAAAGATATAGAGGAAGATACAAACAAGTGGAAGAATATACCATGTTCATGGACTGGAAGAATTAATATCATTAAAATGTCCATACTACCCAAAGCAATCTATAGATTCAATGCAATTCCTATTAAAATACCAACAACATATTTCACAGAACTAGAACAAATATTCCAAAAATTTATATGGAACCAAAAAAGATTTTCGCTGATACATCTCCTAGGGCAAGAGAAACAAAAGGAAAAATAAACAAATGGGACTACAGCAAACTAAAAAGCTTCTGCACAGCAAAAGAAACCATCCTCAAAGTACAAAGGGAACCCATGGTTTGGGAGAACATATTTGCCAATGATACATCTGATAGGGGGTTAATCTCCAAAATACAGAATGTACTCATACAACTCAGTAAGAGGAAGACAAACAATCCAATTAAAAAATGGGCAAAGATCATGAATAGACACTTCTCCAAAGAAGACATACAGCTGGTCAACAGACATATGAAAACATACTCAACATCACTAATAATAGAGAGACACAAATTAAAACCACAATGAGGTATCACTTCACACCTGTCAGAATAGCTACCATCAACAAATCAACAAAGGACAAGTGCTGGCGAGGATGTGGAGAAAAGGGAACCCAAGTACACTGCTGGTGGGAATGCAGACTGGAGCAGCCACTATGGAAAACAGTATAAAGAGTCCTTAAAAAATTAAAAATGGAACTGTCATTTGACCCAGTGATTCCACTTCTAGGAATATATTCTAAGAATCCCAAAACACCAATCAGAAAGAATATATGCACCCCTATGTCCATAGCAGCACTATTTACAATAGCTAGTATCTGGAAACAGCCCAAATGCCCATCAGTAGATGAGTGAATAAAAAAGTTGTGGAACATTTACACCATGGAATACTATGCAGCTGTAAAAAAGAAGGATCTCTTACCCTTTGGGACAACATGAATGGACCTAGAGAATATTATGCTAAGCAAAATAAGCCAGTCAGAGAAAGACAAATATCACATGATCTCACTTATATGCGGAATCTAAGGAACAAAATAAATTGATGAATAACATAGGATCACAGACATGAAAACATGAAACAGACTGACAGGTCTTAGAGGGAAGGCAGGAAGGAGGGAGGGAACTGACTGACCAAAGAACTCATAAGGATATATGCACAGGCCATGGACACAGATAATGAACAGGTGAAGAACTGGGAAAGGGTGGGAGATGGGGAAAGGGAGGTAAAGGGGAGACAATGGGGGATATATGTAATACTCTCCCCAACAATAAAATTTGTTTTTAAAGTCTCTCTTGTAACTTAACAAACCAAGGGATTTTTATATCTTTTTAGACACAAAATATGATTGAAGAAAATTCAGAAAGTTGTGTTATGACTAGAACCAGAAAAGTTACGACATCACTACTACGGTAGAACACAAAGGTAATTAAGAAATTAATTTAAGAAATTAAGTTTAGCCCAGTGGTTGAGCATCGACCTAGGATTCAGGCAATCAGGGTTCGAATCCCAGTCAGGGCACATGCCCGGGTTGCGGGCTCCATCCCCAGTCAGGGGCATGCAGGAGGCGGCCAATCAATGGCTCTCTCATCATTGATGTTTCTATCTCTCTCTCTCCCTCTCCTTTCCTTTCTCCAAAATCAATAAAGATATATTTTAAAAAAGAAAGAAGAAAAAAAAATTAAGTTTAGCCCGGCCAGGCGTGGCTCAGTGGTTGAACGTCCACCTAGGATCCAGGTGATTGGGGTTCAATTCCTGGTCAGGGCACATGCCCGGGTTGTGGGCGCAATCCCCAGTCAGTGGTGTGCAGGAAGCAGTCCATCAATGACTCTCTCATCATTGATGTTTCTATCTCTCTCTCTCCCTCTCCTTTCCTCTCTCTGAAGTCAATAAAGATATATTTTTAAAAAAAAGAAATTAAGTTTAGTTCATAGTATAATTACCAGGAACATTAGACTCTGTGACCAGGCTTTCTATTAAGTGACCAAACAAATGAGACACTAATGCATCTTTGCTACAGCTACGCCACTTAAGACAAGACCCATGCTTGCTTAGGCAGCACATATACTAAAATTGGAACAAGGCAGAGAAGATGAGCTTGGCCCTTACACAAGGTTGACACACAAATTCATGAAGAGTTCCATATTTTTCCTACCTTGGTTGTGGTTTGATCCCTGGCCCTGGTAGGGGAACATGTGGGAGGCAACCAATTGATGTATCTCTCATGTTGATGTTTCTCTGTTTCTCTCTCTCTCTTTCTCTCCCTATTTCTCTCCCCCTCCTCCTTCCCTTCCACTATCTCTAAAAATCAGTGGAAAAATATCCTTGGATGAGGATTAAAAAAAAACAAAACAAGACAAGACCCTATACAGAAAAGACAAGATAGCATGTGTCTCTAGTGAGAAAACATGGAACACCATCCTGGGAAAGCCAGTAAGTTCCATCATCAGTAGGGGTTCAGCCTCCCCTAATGATGTTTAAAAAAAAACAAGATAATGGTCTCATGCTAATAAGATCCTCCTCCCAAGTATATGTGCCCACTTCCCTTGTACCTGGCTATGGTCACCTCACTAATTTCAAACCATGGAATGTAAGCAGGATGTGTGCAACTTCTGGGCCATTTAAAACACTACGAGCTATTTATTCAGTACTTAGTTTCCTGTACCACCTCCATCCACCACAGCTTGGAACATTGAGGCTATAGTAAGTCAGCTTCAACCATGCAGGTAAAGACAACGACCTAAGGAATGGTGGATCAATAAGGAAGGAACTTAAATCTCTGACTGACCTTGTAGAGCAGAGCTGCCCAGCTCAACTAAACCAGCCATACTAATTAATAGGTGAAAAGAAACACAAGTCTTCCTTATTTAAGCCACTGGGAGCTAGTAACCTCAGCTCAACATTTACTCTAATTCACACAGCTAGTTATCAGTCATACATATTCTCTGTTAGGCTTGGGAGTTCTTACATATGCTCCCTTTTTTTGTTTTGTTTTTTCTTGCTCTAAAGGAAACAGACACACTTACTCCACAGCTTTCTTGTAGATTTCGATGGCCTTGTCCAAGTGTCCCGCCAGCAAGTGAATTTTCCCCAGCATTATGTAAGTCAGATCATGCCTGTTAAGATGTAGGGCATGGTGCAACTGGTCTTGTGCCTAACAAGATTAATGAGGTAAAGAGAACAAAATCATTACCATGAAAGGGTTTTGTATGGCTAAGGTAAAAATAGAGCTCCTGCTGTACTAATGTAGGAACATCCCATTTCAGCAAATAGCCCAAAAAAACAACATATTCCAAAACTGTACTTGTTGACAGGACAGCTAGAAACATAAAGTATCTGCCTGTGGAGCCACTTGGAAGAGTTTATACAAGATGACTAACCTTTTGAGTGTTTTCTGCTTCTTGATAATCATACCTATGACTCATACTTTGCAAGGTAAAAGGAACATTATAGTAGAGTATACTGCACTGCCCAGCTGCACCAGTGACCAACTGCACCACCTTTCCCAGGGTGGAACTCATTTTCCTCACCAATATTTTGATAAATGAATGAACGGGTTGTTCTCAGGAAAAAGCTTATATCCTTCCTAGTAGGTGGTCAAAAGGGCTTTTTTTAGTCATTCACTGACTCAGCAAGTATTTATATAAATGTCAAGTATTTTTTTTTAATATATCTTTATTGATTTCAGAGAGAGGAAAGGAGAGGGAGAGATAGAAACATCAATGATGAGAGAGTCATTTATCGGCTGCCTCCTGCACATCCCCCACTGGGGATCGAGTCCGAAACCCAGGCATGTGCCCTGACAGGAAATTGAACCCTGATTGCCTGGATCCTAGGTCAACACTCAACTGCTGAGCCACGCCTGTCCAAGATAAATGTCAAATATTTTGTTTGCTCTGTCATCTTTACAGTAAAATCTAAATACAATCTCCTTCTCCTTTACAGATCTGACCAAAGACCAATTCTACCTCTCCCTTGGCTCAGAATAATGCTATTAATAGAAATGTACTTGCTTGGAATATCCTCTGAAGAGAAAAATCTCCTAATGACATATATAACACTGTAGATCTGCCCAGAACACCTAAGAGACACATTAAATATATTTTTTTGTTTATATATATTAGTTATTTATTATATATTTCACAGGAGTAAAAGTTACTTTCACACCTCAACTGCTGCTGTACAGATTTTTTCCCATACCCCTAGGGATAGATTAAACATTGTCAAATGGATATCAACCAACTCAGATTCTCAGTCCTGTTGGCACTAGAGAAAGGAGAATAAAACTTCATAATCACTAAGTAGAAGCTTTATGAAGGAAACTATGCAATCCACTATCATTAACTTTCAGAGCTCTCAATAATTTAGTCTATCCCTCAATTAAAATATAGACATTTTTTTCTTGTATCTGAGGACCAAGGTAAGCTCAAATGTTTTATCTGATATAAGGGGCTTAGAGTCCGCAGCTTAATCACAATGAAATATAAATTCTCACATGGAAAATAACCTTAAAAACTGAAACTCTCAGAAGTCAGATCCACTTGTAACTTATAATTCAACTTCAATGACTTTAAAAACTAAAATCAGTTGCTATCAGAGCATAAGAGAGCTCCCATGGTCATGATTACACTTTTAAGACATAAGGGTCCACACTTTTTGATATCTAAGTTTTCTTGAACACTTGTTTCTATACTAGAAAATTAAACTGGGGTAGAAAAAAAGAAGAGAGAGAAAAGCAATTAGATTATCATTCCCTCATAATAGTTCTAGAATTTTTTCATTTTCTTGTTAAAAGCAGGGAAAAAAGATGGATAATGACAAATGAGAAAATGGGGATAAGAGTATATGGCAGTTTCAATTTTTACTTCCAAAAATCTCTGCAAGCACTAGGAATAATACAAAATGAGCAATGGCACCTCTGTAATAAGTGTACCCTCAGTGAAATCACCAGCCAACTGTTCAACTGCCACCACTATTTCTATAAATTACCTTGCTGAACTGTTTCAGATAAATGTAGCAAACTCCTAGGTTATGATAGATCTCCTAGACACAAAAGAAAGGAAACCAGCTTAGGTGTAAATTCCACAGTATGTATTAAACAACAGACATCTAGAGATTGTTATTGTTCCGCAAAGTTTAAACTTTAAAATATGCATTACAGTCAGTTTTTGACTAGATTTCATACTCAAATATATTTAATTATAAAAAATGGGTTCCTTAATATAAAAAAGCCCCACAGGTTATAAGAGATAAAAGCAGGACAAACAGGAGATCACTCCCTTTGTGCTCTCTCCTCAGAAGAGACTACCCATAGTTCCTGCCCCACCCTAAGGAGATATGTATACATATATTCGTTAATCAGATTCCTTTTCCTAGGAATCTAGGAATTCACTAGGTGATGTGGATTTGGGAACTGACGGCGCCATCTGGAGAGCACTTTAATGGAATATAGGTATTTGGAGTCAGTCTGCAAATACAGCAGAGGTCAGCAAACTAAGGCCCATGGACCAAATCCATCTGCCTTTTTTTGTAAATAAAGTTTTATTAGTATTGTCTATGGTTCTTTCACACTAGAACCTCAGAGTTCAGTAGTAGCAACAGAGACTATATGAAGCAACAGAGCTTAAAATATTTACTAGTTGGCCCTTTACAAAAAAGTTTGCCAACTGCCGATCTACAAAAAAAAGTGAAACAGAAATTCAGAATAGCTACTTTTGTTGCTGACAGCTTTCCAGTTCTAGTTCACTGCAAGACCAACTTGTATTTCCTGACCTTGAGTTCTATAGAATCTCTTGAATTCCCTTTATTAAATCTCCCTTTATTTAAGGGAGCTTTAGAGAAAGGAGAGTGCTTCTAGAGAAGAAAGTGATGTTATCAATAGGAATCAGATTAATAGCAAACTGCTCAGCAGCAACACTCCCTGCTAGAAAACCATGCAGCAATGTCTGCTAAGTTATGTGGAAACATGGTTTTTGATCGTATACCTAGCTGAATTATCAATCTAGTGCGAGGACAAAGGCATTTTTAGCATGTAAGAATTCAGGAATAACAACAAAAGACCACCATATGATAACTAGAACAATTAGCATGTTACTAATAACAAAGACTTAAAGTTCCTACTTACCCAGTCTTTCTGGTTAAGTTTAGCTGCTTCATTATATATTTCAGTGGCAGCTTTATGTTTTCCCAGAAGAAATCTGTGGAAGAAATACATTTTCCAAAATTATTAACTCAAACCTTTTATAAGACTAACCCCACTAGTCCCACTTTTGACTCATATTCCATCCAGCTGAGAATTCTGGAAGCCTTTGCCACATGAGCTGGCTATGCTAGTTTGGCCAGTGAGGCTATTATACACCAAAAGCAGAAGCTCTCTTGTAGGGGCTGCATTGGTAACAATGGTTCCAGGGCCTTGGTCCCATTCTACACCAACTTTAGTGAGTCTTCTGTAATTTATTTTCCATAGTTTACAAATATAGACCAAAAAAGAAACCAACTAAGTAATATACCATGTTAAGCAAGAGCTGCCATCATTTATCACCATCATCTATTAGGGTCATGCTCTTCCCTCCCAAGCCTAAGTCTCTTTCCTTGATATTGGATCATGGTTCTGGAGAAAACAGGGGAAAGCCAGGCTCTAAGCAAAGATAGTGCAGGTATAAATCACAATGTAGGTAAGAAAGTAGGGATGGGAACCCCACGGAACACTTTACTACTGCAACCCTGTCCTGGAGTAGTAAAGCTATTAGTGTACCTGACAGCTTAAAAGGACTTTAGAGGTTGCTTGCATTCAGGAATCGTCAGGGCATCCCCTCAATAAGCACTTAATAAAAACCTACTGTGTGTCAAAAATTATGCTAAGTGTTAGATGAGAAAAATTCCTTGGGTTTCCAATAAGATTAGGGGACTGAGGACACAAAATGCCAGTATTTAGCACTGGCTGGTTTGGTTCAGTGGTTGGAGAGTCAGCCCGTGGACTAAAGGGTCCTGCGTTTTATTTCAGCCACGGGTACACACCTCGGTTTCAGGCTTGATCCCTAGCCCAGTCAGGGCATGTGCAGGAGGCAACCAATTGATGTGTCTCTCTCACATCAATGTTTCTCTCTCTCTCCCCGTCTTCTACTCTCTCTGAAAAGCAACGGAAAAAATATCCTCAGGTGAGGATTAAAAAAAAAAGAAGTCAGTATTTATATGATAACCACTATCAGTGTTCCCCTGCCAAACTAGAATACAGTGTTTGAACTACTGAGTTCCTTTATACAAATTATCTCATTTTGTGAAATTTCAAAGTTAATCTACACTCTTCAAAGTGAATCCCACTATACCTATTAAGCAACTCTCCTATATATCAAGCTGATCAGGCTGCCAGAAGCAGCCTCTGCCTGAGAATGCTCATTACAAATCATTTTCTGTGAGTGCCCAGGGCCTCCAGAATACCAGTACTCACAAAGATCTGGCCACCTGCTTGAGATTATCAGCACACTGAGGGCTGAGAACAGCACATGTCTGAAAGAGTTCTAGGGATTCTTGGATATTTCCTTCCAGGCGAAATATCAGTGCTGCCAAGAAACAGATAACAAAGAAAACAAAGTCATGTTCTGGGAAGAATGGAGCCTCAGAATATCAGAAATATTGGAGAAGCAGGAGGCAGAAAATCATATCAAAGAAGTTCCTTGGATTATTGTATCTTTAATACAATCAGATATAACTTCAGATGGGTTGAAACAAATAACAAAGTTGCTGACACACTAAAACCTTTCTCTTTTTTTGAGACATGAATGTCTTATTGTAAGAAATACCTTTATTTTGACTTGGTTAACAAAGGAGCTTTCAGTATGATGAGTTCTTCACCTTCCTTTTATTAAGGGAATAAAATACGTTCATGCTTAAAAGAGGGGAAAAATAGGGGGGAGAAGACATTTAAATATTTTTGGCAATAAGATTATTTTTCAGAGACTGAAGGGGAAGGAGGAATATATCCCCTTCAAGCCTGTTACTCAACAACATCGGCAAATCTTCCAGTTCAGCGATGGCTAAAAGGTGAGCATTGGCTTATCTTTCCTAGTACTGATAGTGTTTATAACCTGACCAACTTCACAGGCATTGTTAGGCTTGGCAAACAATAGTTTTCCATAGTATTCTAGTGGCCCACTGCTTGTGTTCCCCTTCTCAGGAGCAAGGCAGCCAGTAGAGACCTCCTCTGAGGTCCTTTCAGGCTCTTCATAGCCTTCAGTCACCTCTTGAATCTCAATTTTCCTTCTCTCCTTTTCTTCGCTGAACAATGCCATACTATCCTTAATATTAAGGAATCTGGTTACCAGTTCCACCCTTGCCTCAACAATACTTGAGTCTAGTAGGAGAACTTTATTGAGATCATTTAAACTTTTCTGATAATTCTTGAATCCTTTATGAGGAAGAGCAGGTCTACAGCACACTTTCCAATTCCCATTATCTGAAGCACCTGATCTCAATCCTGCTTTGCCTCTTCAAACTGGCACAGCTTGAAGTAACAACATTCCTTATTGTTAATCTTTAAGCATTCACATTATTTACTAAGGGCATCTTTATAGTTTTTGTCCTTTAGACATTGTTCTTTAAGAATTTTAAACATTTTTTTTATTTGTGATGCCCAGCTGGTGATGGCTGCAGGAATCTCCCACCTGATCTGGGGGCATCTCTACCTCAGGCCACCAAGCTCACAACTGCACAGAAGTGGGCACTGAAGGAATGGGTGACAGCTTCTCCAGCCAGCTTGGTGCATCCAGATCCATTAAAATTCTTGTTCTTCTGTTAACACTGTCATTTGCTATCTGGATTCCACTATTTGCAAAACACTGTTTTGTAATCCACATAAGCTTTCTGATACTGCTCTAAAGTTTCATAGGCCATTGCTCAGTTGAAAAAGAGGTTTGATTGAGAATAAAATTCCAATCCCTGTTACAATCTTGAATGCAGTCACTGCATTTTCCTTCCTTTAGGTAACATGCATCTGTATTTGAATATAAGATACTTAGATCTTCACTTCCACTTCCTACAGACTCCAGCTGCACCTCTGCAAACTGCCCATTTTCAAACAGCTCTGTGGCAGCGGGCTGTGGACAGAAGTTGGGGAGGGGCAGCAAGAGGATGAGATACGGCCCTCTCCAGCTGCCTGCCACCTTCGCTTTTGCTTCTGTTGGCTGGGCGACCTCAGTGGGAAATGGATGCAGGAAGCGGGAATCAACAGTTTGGACGATCAGGAGAAAGGACCTTGGCACCATGGGGCGCCCAGAGCAGAGGTGCAGCCAGGCTAAAACCTTTTTTAATAAGGTGCCTCAAACTTACCTAACCCCTCCACTCCCAGCATCCACCCTACAGATAATTGGTGACTTGCAATTTACCCCACAAACTACATATAAACATTCTTAAGCTTCCCTATCAGATGCTCTATTTATCATGATAATTCGTAATTCAGTTTTCAGAGAGTCCCCCAAATGGGGCAAGCATAATCAATATCTCATGTCCAACAAGGAGATTCTGGCACAAAAATTCAGTAATATTCAGACTTGGTTATCAGTATAACAACCAATCAGGATCAATATTTTTTCCGAGGCCTACATTTTCAGAAGAATTTCCATGCTTAAGTATTATGAGGCACTGAAAGTCTAGAACTTGTGACATTGGGAATAAAAGAACTTTTTTTTTGCCACAATGTCCTAGATGTGTCAGTATCTTACCAATTATGTCAGAAAATTATATACTAATCTGAAGACCACAAAATGCAGTGAATAGTCAACAAAACAATTCACTTATTCAAAAAGGTCAAAAAGAAAGTTCATGGAAAAACTAAGTATGCAACCTTTGGCACTAAAGAGTAAAATCTCAGGTAGTGGTTTCTATATTTGGTTTCTGACGAATTTCATTTATTCTCTGCTTTATCCTGTATATCTCTAGGTTTCTTCCCTTCATCCTGACTCACCTTACTAAAAATCCTCAAGTCTGTCCTCATCTCTTTTAGTCTGATTACAAGGAATCCTTTCAAAGCCACTTCTGGGCCTGAAACTACTGCAGAAGCCTAACATCCATTCTGAAAAACAGTAATCAGAAACTAGAAAAGGGCTGGAGGATGGCAGTAAATCTTTTTTAACAAAACCAGTCATTTCTGAGGTCAAATCTAGCACAAGAATTATGTTTTGATTTCTGGATATTACTGAATTTTTGTGGCACACTTACTTGAATTTAAGCATTTCATAGGTTGTTTGCTCTTTTTCCAGAACCTAGGCAAAGTATGCATTCCTCTAGCAAGAAGAGAAGAAATGTATATCTTACCTTGGACATAGATAGCATATTCACATAGTCCCTGGGTCTCCTGAAGCTGTTCTTTGATAACAGCCTGAAAGAGGATGAAAAATACTTCTGAGGAGTGGTTAAGTATCTTCTAATGTTTTTAAGAAAAGGCAGACATGCACAAGCAGATGTAACCCAGGATAATTACTAATAAAATAGTTCAGATTTTTTAAAAAATCAACTCTCTTGTTAGGACCATTTATTCTAGAATAGGGGTTGGCAAACTACAGCCCACAGGCCAAATCTAACCTGCATAGCCTATTTTTTAACAGCTCTCATAGTTTTAAAGAGTTATAAAAGAAAATAAGATAATATTAAGTTTATGAGAAGACTGTTTGTGGCCTGAAAAGCCTAAAATATTTACCATCTGCCCCTTACAGAAAAAGCTTGCCAATCCTACCTAGAATCTATCTAGTCAAGCTAAGAAAAATATGAAAAGATCTCTGATGAGCAAAATACAGGCTCCACCTTTCTACTATGATGGGCTAAGCCCTGGGTGCCACAGGAGCTCAGAGGCAAGCACCTGATTTTAACTTGGAGAGTCAGAGAAAGCTTTCCAGAGTAAACAGTTTCAAATCCAGTGTTGGCAGGGGGTGGAGAAGCTGAGATGGCCAGGAAAGTCAGAAAGACTTCAAGTGCCATGCTAAAAGGGCTGAGCTCTGGCCAGTTGCTCAGTGGTTAGAGCATCAGCCAGTGGACTGAAGGGTTCTGGGTTCCATTCCGGTCTAGGGCACATACCTCAGTTGCAGGCTCGATTCCCAGCCCCAATCAGGGAGTGTACAGGAAGCAACCAATCAATGTGTCTCTCTCACATGGATGTCTCTCTCCCTCTCTCTCTCTCCCCTCCCACCCCCACCTTCCACTCTCTCTGAAAAGTAGTGGAAAAAATATCCTCAAGTGAGGATAAAAAAAAAAAATTTTTTTAAGGCTGAGAACAATGGGAAAATTTGAAAAGCTTTAAGCAGTAAGTAATTTGATTCTATTTGCTCTGTAAAAAAATTTTTTTTGCACATTATTGAAAATAGATGGAAAGGGGGGCAAGATTAGAGGCAAGGTTGGTATAAGAACTCTTATGTTAATTTAAATTAAAATGAAGGGGATTAACTAAGGCAAAGAGAAGATTAAAAAGCAGACAATTTCAAGAAGCAGTAGGAGAAGGATCTCCCGAATTTGATGATTATCTATATTATATTAAGGAAAGTGGGTCAGGGTATTCTGACATAAACAGCTGCGTGAATGATGGTACCTATCCTTGATATAGGGAACACAAGAAGGAATAGGTTGGAAGGAAGCAAATAAATTCAGCTACAGAAAAGATGAATTTGAAATGCCTGTTAAGTATTTAGTGGGTATCACACTGGTCTGGAGATCAGGAGGAAGTGTGTGGAATGAGCAGAGAAACGAGTAAAGGACAGGACCTAGGAACAACCCCAATTCTTAAGAAATAAGCAGAGCCCGACCGGGCATGGCTCAGCGGCTGAGTGTCGGCCTAGGATCCAGGAGATCGTTCGATTGCCGGTCAGGACACGTGCCCGGGTGGCGGGCTCGATCCCCAGTCGGGGGCATGCAGGAGACAGCCGATCAATGACTCTCTCATCATTGATGTTTATATCTCTCTCCCTCTCCCTTCCTCTCTCTGAAATCAATAAAGAGATATTAAAATATATATACATATATATATATATATATATTTTTTTAAATAATAAGCCGATAAAGAGAAGCCAAAGAAAGGAAACAGAGAAAGTGGTCAAAAAAGAAAAACAAAGAGAAAATAATACCAAAGAAGGAAAGAAAGAAACCTCTCAAGATTCAGGCTGGTACTAAACATTGCTATGCCCGTGCAATGCCATAGGTATAAATACCAAGGTATAAATTAAAAACCACAACCTTAAAAACATTACAAATCTCTGAATGCCAACAAAGACAATACCAAGGACGTATTTTTCATGTTAGTACTACTGTCTGCCAGCAAGTATGTAACATATAGCATGTTATAAAGATACACACAGTTTAGAGGAAAAGAAATACAGATGGTTTTTAAATATACAGACGATGATCAAGCTCACCAGAATAAGAGAGCTGTAAAATAAAGCTAAATAAAATACCATTTTTCACCTACCCAGAGTTCAAAAAGTGAAATACTATGCTGTGTTCAACATCTGCCCTCCACTGTGAAATCAACAAGTCCCAAAGAATAACTGCCCCTTCAGCCTGGTCTTGAAATGAGAAGACATGTGAACCTGACCCATAACTTGTAGTCAAACCCAGTCAATCTACAGACAATATGAAGGCAATGAGCAATAAATAAATGTCTGTTGTTGGAGGCCACTGAAATTGAGGTTGTTTGTTAAGCAGCATTATCATAGCAAAAGCTAACAAATATACCAAATGTGGGGAAACAGTAAATTATACATTATTAAGTGGGATAGAAACTGCGACAAACTATGTGACAGGCACACTTAGTTGCCTAACCAAAGTCCACCTATCATTGCAATCTCTCACCTTGCATGCTTCATAATCCTTCCGGATATAGTAGAGATGTATCAACCAGTTCTGCTTCTCCAAAATAGGAAACTCTGGATCTGGGCAGTATATTTTGACAAAACAAACAACACAACCATTGTTAGGTTTTCTCCTTTATCACTGTCCTTACATCTAAACTAACCACAAGCATTTTGCAATATCACATTAAATTCTTCATGCTGCTGATCATAAGGATACAATGCATCAAAAATGTATAGACAGGCTATTAAACTAAGAGATACAAGTCCTACTAGTACACATTAAATATATGTTTCCTTCACTTTTTGTAACTTACAATGTTAGTTTTTCAAATAAGTTGGCCTGAAAAAAAATAAAATTATTCTTTGTCTCTTTTCTCGTACTCTTCCTAGATATAGAAGGTAAATAAGACTTTCTAAAGAATATTTCAGGAATGTTATTCATTATATATTAGAATCTTACAAAAAAAAGATGAGTCGTTTTTTATGTTCCCTGGGTGAAAAATGGAGAAAAAATGTTCAATTTGTAAGGTAGCTCAAGGACCCAGAAGCTCATGAAATGGGAGCCTTTGGGATTAGAAGAAGGGAAAGCATCATTAAATCCAAGTGCTTAAAGGTCACTTCACATTCTTGGAGATACTGTCTGCCTAAAAGCTACAAGAACTTTAGCTTAATCAAAGACTTTATAAATCATTTCACTGCCCCATAATTGTCCAATTACTAACCCTGTGATCTTCAGAAATTTACTGTTTCCTCGTCTATCAAATAAACTCATTCATTCGTCAAATATTCAGAGTATCTACCATATGCCAAGCACTGTTCTAGGCACTGGGGATACACAAATGTACAAAACTGACCCCACTGCTTTCAGGGACATTATAATTGGTTGGAGGAGAGGGGGGAGTAGGTAAGTCAAACAGTGCTAACAGAAAAAATAGATGATGATAAAATAAGTTCTATACAGGGGATCCAAGATGGTGGTAGAGTAGGTGGAAGTTACACTCACCTCTTCCCAGGACCAAAACAGAATTACAACTAAATCATAGAAAAATCAACCTGAATAACCAACTGAAGACTAGCTGAACAGAAGTATTATAGGAGTGAGGGGGTCTCAACCCATGGCAAGCCCCCCAGCCCAGAGGATCAGAGCCAGGAAGTAGAACCCACGTAACATCTGCTGTGAAAATCAGTGGGGATTCTATCCTCCTGGGAGAGACAGGAGTCTGCTAGAAACCCAGGCACCCACTTGAAGGGACAGCACACAAAACCATGTTCACGGATACTCATCCTGAGCTCTGGTGGAAGGAAGGCAGCTCAGAGCAGACTGGAGTCATACAGGGAGAAATTAGGTTGTATGGCTTTGGGGAGAAGGCTAGAGGGACAGCTGCCATTGTCCCTGAGCTGAGTGCCTCTCCCACACCACCCACAGATGCTATCTTTCCTAGGTCAAACTCTCCTCCATACAACGTCGACCTAGGGATATCTACTAGTGCCACCCTCCAGACACCCTATGACCCAGCGCTGCCAAACTCAAACCCTGATGAGGAATTAGCTAGCTACGGGCTGCCTGGGCCCGCTGCAACCTTTCTTGGAAGGTCCTCAAGAAGATACAAGCCAACTCAAGGGATGTCAGAGACACACAGGGACAGATTGAGTTGTATGGCCCTGGGGCAAGGGCCATTTTTCCCTGCAGGACCAATCAGCACCACTGTACTCAGGCAGAGCCCTCCCTCCACATGGCCAAATTTTAATCTATTTTAGCCTGATGAACTCTACTGGCCTCACCCTGATGATTCCCTGAGACCTCACCCCATCACAAAGATTCACAGGCCCCAGGCGGATGGCAGTTGTTCTTGGTGATCCCTGAGACATTTGCTGAGTGGCCACAGGCCCAGCCCTGGTGCTGAGTTTGAATCTGTATAAACCTGGTAAACATCACTCTCCCCTACCTGGTTACTCACTGAAAACCTACCTCATATAACTTGTGTACTGCCATAGGCTCTTTCAATGACTGAGCCTAACAGGCAGCCAGCAGGCAGAGGCAGATCTCAGAGTAGCTTGGGCCTTTTGCTGACCTGCCCTAGGCTCGATGAGGTTGAAACCAGTCTTGGTACACAGTTTGGCCCATACCATGCACACTCAGCCCAGCAGAGGCAGCCACCAACCATGGATCACTTTGTATCTCTTAAGAGGTAGCCGAGGGCTGGTCACAGGCAGCATCAGACACTGACCTGCACCAGGTTCCCTTCCAAGAGGCCCCAGAACCAACACAACCAGTGGCAGGCTTCAGATCACATCAGAGCATGACCATATTAGCCCCATAAGCAGCACACCAAAAAGGAGATCTTGGTAGGAACCAGAATCTGCTAGAGCAAATTGCCCCTTGTAAGGTCAGCCTCAACACAGCAGCTCATACACTATACTGGGGGTCAGTCCTCACAGTCAGCCAGCCTAAGTCAACCCCACCCATGGACAGGCCAACGGAAATCAAGACCCAACTACAACAGGAGCACTCACATAACCCACACAAAAAATATTCCTAGGGTACCCAGCTCAGGTAATAGGGAGACTGTGCCACTGCATCCCAAAGAACACCTACTACTTAAGGCCACCCTACCAAGACTGGGAAACATAGAAAAGCTATCTAATACACAGAAACAAACACAGAGAGGCAGTCAAAATGGAGACATAAAGAAACATGCCCCAAAAGGAATAACAGGAGAAATCTCCAGAAAAACAATTAAATGAAATGAAGGCAAGCAATCTATCAGACAGAGTTCAAAACAATGTTTATAAGGATGTTCAAGAAACTTAGTGAGGACTTCAACATCATAAAAAAGGACATAGAAACTATAAAAAAAAAAAAAGTCAGAAAAGAAGAATACAATATCTAAAATGAAGAATACATGCGAAGGAATCAAGAGCAGACTAGATAAAGCAGAGGACTGAATCAGTGATTTAGAAAACAAGGTAGCAGAAAACACTCCATCAGAGCTGGGAAAAAAAAAAAAGAACTTTTAGGGTATACACCTGAAACTAGTATAACATTGTATGTCAACTGCAATTCAAAGATTAAAAAATGATTTAAAAAGAACAACAATAATAAAACTGGAGAACTCACACTATGTGATCTCAAAACTTACAAAGCTACAGCAATCAAAACAGTGTGGAACTGGCTTAAAGAAGGCCATAAACTAATGAAATAGAATAGAGAGCCTGGAAATAACTTCTCACACAATTTTTGACAAGGGTGCTGTGGAGGAGAGCCTGTTCCATAACGTGGCCACTGTCTGTTCTGCAAGCTGACCTCAGACCAGAATAGAGGTTGCTTTCTGCAAATATCTGAAACTGTCTGATCATAATTCATATTCATTCCAACATAAATTAGCACTCCCTCCTTATCTCCTGCCACATGCTGGTTTCTGGAACAGATTGTTGTCCTGACCTGGTCAACCATGTAAAGTATTTTCCCATATCTGGTAGCATTCACATAGTAGTACTGGTAACTATTTCCCACCTTTACCCTATATAATTCTTTGGCACCTGCTAAGCACCTAGAGAAATATCTCCTTCATTTGCAGCCACCCAAGATGCACTTTGTATGTAAGTTTCCCTTAATAAACTCTATTAGTTCCCGGAAAAGAAAATTATTAAAAATGAGAATACTTTAAAGGACCGCTGGGAAAATATCAAGCATAACAACATCCCCATCACAGGGGTACCAAAAGGAGAAGAGAGAGAGAGCAAGGGATTGAGAACCTATTTGAAGAAATAATGACTGAAAACTCCCCTAACCTGGTGAAGGAAAAAAAAAACACAGGTCCAGGAAGCACAAAGAGTCCCAAACAAAATGAACACAAAGAGGCCCACACCAAGACACATCATAATAAAACTAGCAAAGGTTAATCAGTAGATAAGTGGATAAAAAAGCTGTGGTACATTTATACCATGGAATACTATGCAGCTATAAAAAAGAAGGATCTTTTACCCTTTGAGACAGCGTGGAGGGACCTAGAGAGTATTATGCTAAGCGAAATCAGCCAGTCAGAGAAAGACAAGTACCACATGATCTCACTCATATGTGGAATCTAATGAACAAAATAAACTGATGAACAAAATAGATATAGAGATACAGAAGCATGGAACAGACTGACGAATCTCAGAGGGAAAGCAGAGATGGGGGTTGGAGATTAACCAAAGAACTTATATGCATAACCCATGAACACAGGCAATAGTGTAGTGAAGGCCTGAGGTGGAGGGGGACAATGGGGGGAAAAGGGGACATCTGTAACACTTTCAACAATAAAGATAAAATTTTTAAAGTGTAAAACCAATTGCAAAAGTTAAAGACAACAAATCTTAAAAGCAGAAAGGGAAAGACAGTTACCTACAAGAAAGCTCCCATAAGACTGCCAGTTGATTTCTCAACAGAAACATTTCAGGCCAGAAGGAATTGGCACAAAATATTCAAAGTGATGAAAAGCAAGGACCTACAACCAAGACTGCTCTAACCAGCAAGGCTATCATTTAAAATTGAAGGAGAAATAAAAGGCTTCCTACACAAGAAAAAGCTAAAGTAGTTTATCACCACGGAGCCAGTATAGCAAGAAATGTTAAAGAGACTTCTTTAAAAAGAAGAAAGAAAAAAAAGGAATATAAATATGTATAATAAAATGGCAATAAATATGTACTTATCAATAATCACTTTAAATATAAATGGATTATACACTCCAATCAAAAGACATAGGGTAGCTGAATGGATAAGAAAACAAGACAGACAGACAGACAGACATATATATATATGCTGTCTACAAGAGACCCACTTGAGATCGAAAGCCACATACAGACTGCAAGTAAAGAGCTAGAAAAAGATATTTCATGCAAATGCAAATGAAAAAACAACAACTGGGGTAACAATACTTATATCAGACAAAACAGATTTTAAAACAAATACTATAATAAGAGACAAGGACATTACATAATGATAAAGGGATCAATCCAATGAAAGGATATAACCCTTGTAAACATTTACGTAAACAACACAGGTACACCTAAATATATAAAGCAAATCCTGATGGACA